CTGATTGAAGGACTGTAAAGCAGGCATGCTAATCCCATCTCATAAAATTTATACAATCTTCCGAATAAAATTATTTGTTCCTCTCCATGGATTTTACCCAGAAACATATTGTTTTCTGGAATGAAAAAATTAGGACAAACCCCTTCGTAAACCCATTTAAGAAGAAGCTTAAAACAGATCCAGAAACACACTAAGAGATTTTGTGGACACCAGTGAGGTATGTGGTATTGCTGAATTACCCAAAAAAGTGTTGTCTTCATATGATAAGAACACAGTAATTCATCCTTGGATTCACATTCATTATTTATGATTTCTTTGACAACAAATAATAAATAATGTATATTAACCCCTTCACTTCCGTACCGGTCAAATTGACCGGTGGCGCGTTAAAACACGACTTCGCGAAAATAAGACCTCCGTATCTATTTTGTGGTAGCATGAAGGTATATAAGCTATATATCATCTTTTTAGAAATTTTCTCTACTTTTAAAATATCTAAAAAGATTATATCTTGATTGCCGGTATTTAATCGATTTTACGTTGTGAAGATAAACGAGACTTTTTGAAAATGGCGTAATTTTCCAAAGCGATTGCCGATTTTCCAGACGATTGACAATTTTTTTCCTGATTAACTTTATAAGAAAGCATGGTATATTCTTAAAGCATATTTTCTCTACTTTTAAAATATGTAAAAATTATTGTTATTACTTTAAGGTATATTTTAAAAACAAGAATTTTCTTGCACTTATGTGTTTTTTCTCGATTTTATTCGTAATATTTAAACAAAGCTCAGTTTTACGTTTATTTCTGTGTTGAAATAGGGAAAACAAAATAAAGCTGGTAAAAGTAGAGAAAATTTCCTTTCCATCAAGCCCTTATAGGTCTTCTTACGCTCAGTATTTTCTTAATTAAGATAATTTGAATTTGTGACCTTTGCCTAGTTTTTATGGAAAAATCGGTCAATATTTACATGTAACGTCAAGGTCGATATTGTTGCGTCTTACTCGAAACAACAAATTCTTTTATAACACTTTTTTGACCATTTAAATATATTTTTTACTGAAAAAAATGCATAATACAAAAAAAAAAAAATAGATTTCAAAAAAACAAATATATACTTTCGTTCTGCCTTTTGTGAAGTGAATGTTGATTTATTCATCTACATGTAATGATGTATATTTCATGAAGTGATATACAATATATATTGATAAAAATTGTAGATTTCCAAAACGTCGATCTTTACTAAAAAAAAATCAATCAGATTTTTAATATTGTTGTATCTTGTTATACTGTATACTTATTAATTTGCAATTTAATTAGATCTATATTTAACAATACAAAAACTCGCATTTATAAATAAATACGACTCATCACTGTATGAGTTGATACGAATTGAAATAAACACGTGTTTCCGCTTTGGTGTAAACATGATGGTGATCTGAAATCTGAACGTCAATTTTCATGATTATTTCGTCGAGATCCTCACATCAATGAATCAAATAATACGGACATGCCTTTAGTATTAGCAGGTGAGAATACGTGTATATTGACTGAAAAGTTTAAGTTTAAAACGCATTAGTTCACGTTCAAAAGAAAACTGAATGTACACCAGGTCTGGTACACATGTACTAGATCTTTATGTTTCAGTTTGCGTGTTTCGTATCGTTCAGCAAATTTTGCATTGCTTTTGAACTTTGATGCTTTTGAAAATCACTCGTAAGTTCAATGTAAAATCAAAGTTGTCATAATAATGGATAGTTGTTTTCAGTATCTATGTACCAGTGTGTACATGTAGTGATGTACCACTTTCACATTGAAATTTTAGGGTGCTTTCACCATATGCAACAATACTTTCATCTGTGAATACCCACTTTCTAAGCCCACCATGAACTACGAAGGTCAATTAATATGTAAGGACACCAATGAACAGGTAATTTTTTTTTTTTGGTATTGAAAATTTTTGTATTCTAAAATTTCAAAAAATAAAGTCTAATTTCATTTGTGTCATTCTCATACAAGTTTATAAACATTTGATTTATATTTTTAAAAATAAGTGTTTGAAACACATAATACTTATGATGCTTGATTATTCATACAGACACATTATTTAAACATGTAATATCTATCTGAATGAATGCCGAGATATGGAACAAGCTGTTTTTATAGACTGCTGTTGTATTTCCAATCTGCATAAAGTATGTGGTTAGAATTTCCATTTTCTCAATTTTTCAAACACTTTCCAGTTATCGGACATCATATACATGGATGGTCAAATTCACTGGATGGTTTATCAACACTCGATCCCGTGCTCACGAACAGCCTTGCCCCAGGGATTTTGCCCTGAAGTAACATTGCAGTCTATTGTCTCCTTTCTTTTTACAACCCTGGCAGCCATGCAGGTATGAAATCTATGAAAGCCATGAAGGGACATAGAATTTTTAAGATTTATAAATGTAAATCGAGTTCTCGAATTATACAATCCGTTCTCTCGGATTGGCAATTTGTTATAACGAATTCGAATGCCAATTCGTTATCAAGGATTATCAATTCGTTCCCTCAAATTACAAAATTCGTTTTCTCGGATTGTAATTCATTCTCTCAGTTTAAACAATTCGTTCCCTCGGAATGTAAACCCTTCCTATGATTTCGTTTAAATTATTTATCTGTACATATTGGATATGGTAATACATGTTTAAAAAATAGAATATTGTAGTATTTTACATCCTAACTTTTATTACATATTACGGTCCAAAATGAGAAAAATACATGAACATTTTCAAATCCATGTGCTAGTACTGATATTTGTACAACAAAAAATATTAGAGGTTTTTGTGTTACTTGTATATTAGAATAATTGAAAGTCCTAGATAGTAAAAGTGAATATGGGTCCTGTGTAATCATAATATTTCTAAAATAAATATACGTTGAATTAGTTATGAAAGAGGTTGGAAACAACCGGTTGCTGAAACAAAATAAATAGAACGCACTTATTGATTAAAATGGTTGGATGTTTCTGTACATATATGTAATGAAATTCAAGAGCACAGCTTTCCAAAATCATAAGACTGACGTTGTAACAAATCAAGATGTTGAATTATCAATCTGTGAAAACAAATTACCAGTATGTAATTTGAGATCTCAAATTATGAATCAAGGGGGCGAATTAGTAATCCTTAAGATCGGATTGTGTAATTCGAGATCTCATAATATAAATTGAGGGAACAATTTAGTAATCCGTGGGATTAGATTGTCTAATTCGATATAATTTTTTACTTTTTTGAAAAATTTACGTGTCCCTTCCTGGCTTTTGTAGCAATCTAATGCCAGATTTTTTTTACATGTTGCGATAGCGTAAACAGAGGTCTGGCTTTAGTCAGATTGCCATATATGCTATTTGTTTTAGTTCAGTAATTTTGCCATGATGGTTTACTACAAGGTGGTTGAATTACCAGTCCTGATACATTGACTTAACAATATCATTTAACTAGTACTTGGATCACATAATGAATACAATTTTAATTTTAAAAGGAAAATCAAATAAATGTAGTAATTTTACCTTTCTTAATTTTATTTATAAATATAAATTTATATTCACAATGACATGTATCTGTTTCAAAATACTTAAATCTTTTACAGGATAGAAGCTGATCACTTGTACTTGACAGCAAATAATAATGTCTTGGACAAGTCAAAGAATTTCCTCCAGTCTTACAGAGAAATGACAGTTGATAAAAGAATGGTGGACACAAAGTAAAAGTGCTCTTCAACATTTTGTTGAAGATTTCAGTCTGATTTGGAATTCATCTTGCAATATTTCTGGATTTGTATATTTGGATATAAGCGTCAACTTATTGACTAAACAGTTTTGCATTAAATATTGCCAATGCTCTCTATTATTATTATTTCCCTCCAAGATAACATGTCAAGTCTTTATTGTACCCCTTAAGCTCTGTTATACCAGAAAAATCTTGTATTGAAATCATTTAGTTTTTTTTCTTGTTAAATTAAATCCATGAAAATAAAGATTATTTTTTAAGAGAATGGATTTCTTGTTTAACAAAAAGATAGTATACATGTTTTGCTAGGGCTTTGTAAGAAGCAGACCAGAATTCTTTGCTTGCAAATTCTGTCATTCGCCATTTTTATTACGTCAACTATTAGATGATTTATCCATGTTTGAAGCATTTCAAAATTGATATTTACTTACAGTTTAAAGCAAAATTCTGTACTGATATGACCTTGACCCCCTGAAGAACAAGAGTGTCAAGGTCAATTTTTAATAAAAAAATGTTCTTTTATCTTTATGGCTCCATATCTTACAAACAATATCATGAAATATACAAAAAGTGTCTAGAATGTGTCCAGAATGTGAAATAACAAACATGTATATAGCCAAAAACTTTAAAATGATGTTGCTTAGCAACCACTTAAAGGTCATTAAACAGATATTTGAACTAAAATGATGCATGAATATTGCAGTTCTGATCCCTTCTTGAGAGTATATTCAGAATTTTCCATTTTAGCATCCATTGTGTAAAATTATGGCAAGAATATTGAAAAGTGTTGAAAAAAATTGATGAAACTTTTGCACTTATTTGACCTTTGACCTCCTAAAAATAGTTCTAATGAGGTAAAACTTTAAGACAATTTATCTGTTGTATGTCCCTTGTAATTTTATGACCTCACATCTAACTTTTATATGTGCTGGGATGCATAAATGTGTCTAGGATGAGTAAAAAATGAAAATTTCTGCCCGAAAATTAAAGAATTCTGCGTTGCTTAGCAACCCCTTTTAAGTAGTTATATGCAGATTTGAAAAAAAAGTTTATGTGTTTCATGTAGTACAGTATAATGCTCTTTTGTGGGTATATCCCAAATTTCCTATTTCAACATACATCATACTTAATATTTAGCTTAAAGATGAAAAAGTATCAAAAAATTCCATAAAATTTTGCACTTAATTGACATTTGACCTCAATTTTTACTAATAAGGTCAGTGGTTGAGTATCTAAACAGTCATAAAATATCATCTGTAAGAAATTTCCTACAAAATGGTATGCATTATGCCTAGCTTTCCGCTTGGATAAAAAAGTTAGAAATAATTTAATAATGCCATGTCAAAAGGCCTCCAAAATCACGTAAAATGCGCCGGAAGAGAAAGGGTTAAGCAAACCATATGTTAGGAATTGACAATGATTCATTGAATACACGAGCTTTTGTTCTGCTTGAGAAAAAGATATTCGCCATTCATCTTCTTCATGATTTCCTAATTTGTGTCCTATAGGTACAAAGTGACATCCATTTCTGACTATATCACGTACAATTTCCGGCTTGGGCCAAAAGTGACATCTCTTGATCCATGAGAAGGCAATTGGAGGCCAAAAGTTGCTACATAAACTAGAAGCATAATCATATTCCATGTTAGCGCTGTAGAAACTTAAGCAAGGTCCATGTTCCCTCAAAATTAGTATATGGAAACAAGCGATTTGTCTGTATTTAGAACTAGAGAAATAAAGCTTGTCATTCATTTGAACAAATGGTGGGTACAATGGAAGTGGTTTTATTTCATTTGCTGAAATCATTAAATCAATTAAAGTGAATCCAGGAGGACTTTCGGAACAATCACACAGTAAACATAACATATTATTATCGTATTCCTGAGCTTGATCCAAGTCCCAGATTACCTTTAAGTTGCTTTGCCAAAACATCACATCCCTATCGGAACTTTTAAATCTGAATCCTTCTCTGCCACTTCCAGTATACAACATTTCAAACCTGTAATTACGACATGCAGGAATTCGATTCCTAAAAACTTATCCGATGTCCTCTCCTTCTCTCCTTATGATGACTTTCGTAGGAGTTCCAACTTTTCGACAAAGTCCAACAAACACAGATTCTGACAGATGTTGTATACCTGCCTCACTAGTAGATATGATTCAGATAGTTAATACATATTTGTTAAAGTGAAATTTAGTGTGAAATTGTCAAGATTAATGTTAGGTTTATATTGTAGATTAATTTTGTAGATTTAAAGTAATTGCTACAAGCTACAGACTGCAGTGATATGTTAATGTGATAAGGTCATGACCTCTCATTAAGATTTGTAGGGTAAATGTAGCTCTTTTGTCAGCATCACTTACCTTTATCACCCAAGTCTAGGGAGGATTGAATATCTAAAGTGCTGACCTTGAGAAAGTGCAGAATTTATAGTATTCACAATTATTAGGTTCATTTAGCAGTGATTGACAGTCTGTAGGTTGGGCAGTTCTTACTATTTAGCCTATAATTTTTGTATTCAATTAGTTACTCAATCAGGTCCTCTGTGTAAAGTGTTACACAGGAATACAAATTAAACTTTGAGGAAACTTTCGCTGTTTTTATTTAAAAACAGAAAGCTTCGGGGTCACAGTATTAAATCAACGTATGGCGTAACACTTGTTTCTTTATCAAAATTTAAATAATTTGAAAAGGTAAGATCTGTTGTTTTGGATATCAAAAAACAGATTCATACAGCTAATCTAGTTTTAGAAAAATTTATTTTTAGACCCGAGATTGATGAAAAATAATCTAACACTCTTGTAATTCCATTCAATGAGCTTGGAGAGCCATCAGAAATAACAGATGTATCATCTGCATATTGTGACAACTTGTATTCTTCACCATCAATAGTTATATCTTCAAAATCCTTATTTTTTCTAATTAAAATACCTAGAATCTCTACACAAAGTAAAAAAAGGTACGGTGAAATAAGATCATCTTGTCTACAACCCCTTTCAGGGTAAAAATACTGAGACACAATCCCATTTTGAATAACACAGGACTTTATATTATTATAGAAACATTTTATCCAATTTCTAATTGACTGACCAAAATTGAAGAAACAAAGTGTTTGATTTATGAAATTCCATGAAATGGTATCAAATGCTTTTTCAAAGTCGATAAACATTAAGAGACCAGGTATATTTCTTGACTCTGCTTGGTGCATAATATCATATATTAATCTAATATTTTCGCCAATAAATCTACCTTTAATAAATCCTGTTTGGTCCCCTTGTATTAGCTTATCTAAGAATTTTTTAATTCTTTCAGCAATGCACCCTGAGGCTAATTTATATACAACATTTAAGAGGCTAATAGGCCGCCAGTTTTTTAAAAATTGTTTTGGCTAACCAGTTTTTGGAATACATGTTATTACCCCTAATTTGTTTGGTTCGGAAAAAGTTTGTTTTAATTATGAGTCATTGATTACTCTTGTAATAAATGTGCCAACATCCCTCCAAAAAATTTTTAAAAAATCACATGTGAATCCATCTGGACATGGGCTTTTATCATTTTTCATCTGTTTAAGAAAGTTTAGAACCTCTGATTTTGTTATAGGACCCTGTATACTTAGAGCTTTTGCTATATTAACTTAATACTTGATAAATGGATGCTTAATTGATATCATATTATCATTTCAGAATAAATTTTACTTACACAAGAGAAGAAGTGTGGAAATCCATACTGTATTGTGAAAAAAAAAATGCTTGTTATTTTCTTATTTCTAAGAAATCGTTGAGGAAAGCTCAATAAGGTGATTTTTGTATGATTTTTGTGGGGTTTTTTAATTTAATTTTAGATTCATCCTTTTCAACAGATCTCCATTCTTTTCCTTATTGCGTTTAGAAAATAGAAAAACTGAAGGAGTTTAGAAATAGACAAAGGTTAATCAACACACCATATTCAAGGGAAGATTTTTTTTTATTTGTGTTCAAAACTTTTCCCAGTCTCATGATAAAAAAAATCGACAAATCAGACATTTAACATTTAAGGTTTTTTTGGCCAATTGATCAGATTAAGAGCAAGTCCGCGAGAAAACTATGCAAAATTCAAAATATTCAAATGAAAGTTTTATTTTTTATAGGTCTTTTTTTAGGTTCTAAATCAATGAGTTCGTTTCTTTAGCCATTTTAGAAGTAAAAGTGTGCTGTATGAGTTTGGCACATTGACATATTTAACTTTGAAGGAAGAGAAATTGGAAGTTGTGCTCAACACAACGGCTTTACTACCTATGACTTGTAATTTAGTATATGTCATAGTCATTTTGGTATGTATATCTGCACAAGCAAAATTTTATAAAGGTTTTAAATTAATATCTGAAACTTTTTTGTAATAAAAATAAACATTTGATGCAATAGCAGGAGGGTGTGTATTATTTTATGAGCTTGCTCACAATAATCCTAGTCTATGAAAGAGAGTCACTATGACAGCTCACATAATTTTAATGTAAAACCATATCAATCAGGCATGTACATCAGGTTTGGGTTGGGTAGGGGGGGCATCCCATACCCCATTTTTTTTTCTCAACATAACCTGATGTTTAAAACCACGCCTCCCCCCCCCCCGAGTTTGGAGAATTTTATATTTTTTTTTCCTTGCATTTTTATTTATGCTTACCCTCACATCATGCACTTTCAAAGTGCCGAATTTCATTCTAAAAATTTTGCCCCGTGATTTTATAAAGAATGAAAGTGGTGTAAAAGTTGAAAACTCATGCTTTTGAAAAAATTGAAATTCAATGCAGAAAAATCGTACAAGTCATTTTTCTCACATGTGTTTTTAAGTGCTAATTAAGAAGTCATAAACATGTGCATTTTCCCGTATTTTCCTAAATAGTTGCAGAGGACACCAATTTTTAATGGAATTTTCTTTCAGATGACATTGTCTACAGGCATCGCCCACAAAGAT